GACATTACCAGATGTGCATCAATGCGCAACCATTGGTACATAGCGATGTCAGATAAGCCAGTCACAGTGCGTGTGTGTGAATGTCCTACAATGCGCGTGTGTCAATCCACAGAGCCACTAGGGCCAACTGTGCACACCTCACACACATGCCGACCGAATGTGCTCACACAAGCCAAGCAGGTAGGTGTGAAAGCCTCACAGTGCGCGTTGTGTGAAATGTCACAATGCGCGTGTGTCAATGCCACAGGTAGGTGTGAAAAGTCAGGAATGCGCGTGGTGTGAATGTCACAGATGCGCTGTGTGTGAATGCCACAGGTAGGTGTAATACTCACAAGTGCGTGTGGCGAAATGCCGACCATGCAGTAGGTGTGAACATCACAGTCTGTGAGTGCCAATGTTCAGCGGTTATATGTGTGAACATCAACAGTTCCACTCGCTGAGCGCAGTGACACGACCACCACCGGTATACTATGTCCGTAAGCCCACCAGCCAGCAAAGCTACTTAGAGATGAGACTATGAATCGTCCAACCAGCATCTATACTCCTATGATAATAAACGACAAAACACACACACATCAACAGTTTGTGAGTGAATGTCACGGCTTATATGTGTGCAAGTCACTCAGTCTGTGAGTGAATGTCACGTTGATATGTGTGGCACGTGTCAGAAGTCTGTGTGTGAATGCCAAGTGTATGGTCGTGACCGTCATTGTTGTTTGTGGAAGACGTCAAAATCGCTGAGCGAAATGGCACAGTTATGTGTAGCTGGCATTCAGTAATGTCAGCTGTGATAACGGTCTCACATGCGCACGATAACACACTATGCACATGACTGGCTAGTTGCTACCCACAGTAGTCGCTGTAGCCGAGAAATTATAATGATATTCTGTTGTTACCGACAGAGCCGTTGTGCGTTGGGCAGATCGATACACATGCATTTATATTTTTGATATGTTCAAGGATCCAATTTTCTATCCTCACAGCATCGCTCCAGCGGTGACTGTGAGCATTTTATCTTACATATTGTGGCGTGTATGCATGTGTGTGCAGCGCGCGCACAGTGGTGGTGCGTGTGTGTGCGTGTGTGCGTGCGGTGCGTGCGTCGCGTGTGTGTGCGTGCGTGTGTGTGCGTACACGCATGTGCGTATAACTGGTATAGCGAGGAGGTGCTGCATAAATCTACGCATGGAGTACGCACGGTCGCCTCCCGCAGAAGCAACAACAAGCAGAAGTAATAATACAACGAGGCGACTGAACAGAAAGCGCGATGACATCGTGAGATATAGCGGACAGCACGTTTCTCACGTTGCACAGACGCTGCCGCCAAGCCGTCGTGACGGACTAAATCATCGCAAACTGTTCATCGCCTGCCATCGATTCACCGATGATTATGCAGCAGCCGATTGCAACATATCGAACGCACGCACGCACGCCCACCATCACGCCGACACGACCCACGCACCACACGACGCACGCACGCGACAGCACGCACGTGCACACATGCATACACGCAAATGTCTAGATAACTGACTCCTGCTCACCGTCACACGTTGGAAGTGCTGGCCCGATGAAAAATGTCCTTGAACTATTCATAAAATCTAAATGAGATCGCGGCCGCAGCATAAATCGACACGTGTGCCACTGCCGAAACAGAATCGGCCCGCCTCATGATTACGATTATGAAGGATGCAGGCACCGTAGCTAGCTAAAGCTCCCCTTGATATATTCAAGGGCGTTTCATGATGATATTTTACGACGAATTTCATCCACAAGTCCAACGAATAGGAGTGAAAATCTGATACCAGACCACAGGCTAATGCCCTTACATCTATTACACGGAAAGCTTCCTTAATGTTTCGGATCACATATGTCACCATGTGAAAAGACTTGCAAGTGGCAGGCTGCTCGACACGGAATATATCGTTTCGATAGGATTGCGCCAAATAATCCAGTTAAACTAAAAAATGCATTCACTTCATACGAATACCCAGGCCCAGCCGTTGGCGAACGTTGGATTTGCGAGCAATGTTTGGTGTTGCCGTCGAACTCAGAATTTATTATTTAAAGCTAACCCCAACTCCAGGCGAGTACAGTTGGGTTGGTATTTAATGCCATACCATAGCAACGTCTATCGAAACCTGCATGTTGTTGAATAACACGCAGTGTTATGAGCTGCTTGGGCGCCCAGTGACTGACGTAAATTACATTTAGTCTATAGCTTATTTGCGGTATGAATACACCACAGGATCCTGTAATTTTAAAATCATTAAAAAATCGACCAAGACGGAAGTTGCAATATTTTAGCTTTCAATTTATTCATGTTCAGTTAAATCCTACACCTACTAATGTCTATCATATTAACTTTCAGAGATCGGTGATAAGAACCTTTTCCTATTTACACGCTCAATACATAATGACAAATGATTGATCATGGTTAAATGCAAACAAGTGCCAAGCGGAGCGACCAGCGCATCATCTAACAGTCTACTGCGGTGACTCTGTGGTTGGAGTGGTGGGATTACCTAGTAAACGGGCCCTGTTTAGTACCAAATTGTGTTTCAGCAATACCGGCGCCGAAACAGTGGAATGCACAGGGATGTAATCAGGAACCTTCTCAAGGAATGTTCGTTGGGGATCGTTATCAAAGTGCAACGAGATGGCCGCGTACGTTTAAGAGTCCTTCAGATATAAGATGGAACATCCACATCGTACGTAGTAGGGCAAACTATTGCAAAAGATCAGAATAAGGTACATCATCCATTGTACCTACGCACCTCAGGCTCGCAATAGAGAAGCTGCCACCTGTAACCAATTAACGGCAGGCAAAAACTACACAGTACCACACCACATCACTGGCAGTGGCCACTGGGCAGTGCATTACGTTACATGTAACTATATCTGAAGACAGTAGCAGAATGCCATAGAAAATTAAGCGACTTTGAAGGAGCATAAACTTCTTGCAACCAAATTATAGCTTTTGAAATTTCAACTGTGACGATTGTAAGCCTCATACATCAGGCATGTGTAGACTTCACTAGCAAACCCGGCAGTCAAATTCTTTCTAACAGACAGTAAACAAAATCCAATGTTTAAGCCCTCCTCTTGAGGTCAAAAGGT